CTTAAATTGGTCAGGAAACAGGAAAATTGTTTCTTGACGACCAGCAGTTGGAGCTTTTGGTCATTTGAAAGAGGCCTTCCACTGGCTTACCGGTCCACCCTTTAAAAATTATGGTTATAATTATTTAAACCCTTTCATTAATTAAACTGAAAATTAAATTGTCCGTAGTTCGATTGCTAGCGCACTCAGCTCACACGTGGAGGTCCATGGTTCGATCCCCAGTACGGGTGGAAACATTAGGACGTTTCCATAAAACACCTGCTGCCCAAAATGCTCTGCATGCACACCAAAATGTCACCCATCATATGTACATACACTGTATCATGCTGAAAAAAGAATCTTTAATCTTTATCAGTAAAATAGGTAACTGGATGTTAGTGGACTGGTGTGGGTCGCATCCTGGGGGACAAGATTAAGGACCTGGAGTTTACCTGGAGAGAGTTCCGGGGGTCAACGCCCCCGCGGCCCGGTCTGTGACCAGGCCTCCTGGTGGATCAGAGCCTGATCAATCAGGGTGTTGCTGCTGGCTGCACGCAAACCAACGTACGAGCCACAGCCCGGCTGGTCAGGAACCGACTTTAGGGGCTTGTCCAGTGCCAGCTTGAAGACTGCCAGGGTTCTGTTGGTAATCCCCCTTATGTATGCTGGGAGGCAGTTGAACAGTCTCGGGCCCCTGACACTTATTGTATGGTCTCTTAACGTGCTATGACACCCCTGCTTTTCATGGGGGGATGGTGCATCGTCCGCCAAGTCTTTGCTTTCGTAGTGAGTTTATTTTCGTGTTTCAAGTTTTGGTACTAGTCCCTCAGGATTTTCCAGGTGTATATAATCATGTATCTCTCCCGCCTGCGTTCCAGGGAAACAGGTTTAGGAACCTCAAGCGCTCCCCTTAATTGAGTGTTTTATCCCCCGTTATGCGCGCAGTGAAGGTTCTCTGTACATTTCTAGGAAATATATTAGACAGTCCCCCGATGACCACTGACTTTCTTGGGTTATCCGGGGGGCTAACCCTCCGGGGTTGAAATCCGAACGAAATCTTATCTTATCTCTCAAGCCAGCCTGACGGTTTCCTGAAAACCCTTCATAAATGTACCTTGCTCACACTCCAACAACACGTCAAGTCCTAAAAAACCAATTTTCCTCCATTCACTCTTATCTAACACGCTAGGCCAACCCCTACCCCCCCTTCCCTGCACTACAGATTTATACAAGGGTTTTTTGCCCGAAATGTCCCGGGATAATAGTGGTTTTCTTTGTACGTAAAAAAAATCAAAATAGTAATTACACACTGCAACCTTGGCAAAGAAATAGAATCTTGAATCTTTAATTATTATTATTATTATTATTATTATATTATTATTATTTTATTTTTTTTTTTTTTTTTTTTTTCAACAAGTCGGTCGTCTCCCACCGAGGGAGGGTGAACCCAAAAAAAAAAAGAAAATCCCCAAAAGAAAAACTTTCATCATCAATTTAACACTTTCACCACACTCACACATTATCCACTGCTTTTGCAGAGGTGCTACAGAATACAACAGTTTAGAAGCATATACGTATAGAGATACACAACATATCCCTCCAAACTGCCAAATCCCAAACCACTCCTTTAAAGTGCAGGCATTGTACTTCCCATTTTCCCGGACTCAAGTCCGACTATATGAAAATAAACCGGTTTCCTGAAACCCTTCACTAAATATTACCCTCTCACACTCCAACAATCGTCAGGTCCCAAGTATCATTCGTCTCCATTCACTCCTAAACTAACACCCTCATGCACGCTTGCTGGAAGTCCAAGCCCCTCACCCACAAAACCTCCTTTTCCAACCCCTTTTCCCAACCCTTTCGAGGACGACCCCTACCCCTCCTTCCTTCCCCTATAGATTTATATGCTTTTTCCATGTCATTCTACTTTGATCCATTCTCTCTAAATGACCAAACCCCCTCAACAACCCCTCTTCTGCCCTCTGACTAATGCTTTATTAACTCCACACCTTCTCCTAATTTCCACACTCCGAATTTTCTGCATAATATATTACACCACACATTGCCTTAGACCCGGACATCTCCACGCCTCCAACCGTCTCCTCGCTGCTGCATTTACCACCCAAGCTTCACATCCATATAAGAGTGTTGGTAAATACTATACTTTCATACTTCCCTTCTTTCCTCCATAGATAACGTTTTTGCTCCACATATACCCTGTGTAAAGTAGGTCGAGCATTATTACAATTGCATCGTTTGTGCTTTTTTTTCTTCTAAAAGGTTTAGCATTCTTCACCTGAGGATATTACAGGTAATCTTCCCAGTACAGTAATTTGTATTAATTTATAATGTATAGTGGGTTGTGTAATGAAGGTGGTTATATTTTTGGCTTATAGGGAAAAGGCATTTCTTTGGATATCCCCCCACCCCATAGAAAAACTATAACCAAATTAATCTAGGGGTTAAATTTTAAGTTTATTATTATTTTTTATTTTTCTCAAAATCTTTAACAATTTATAAAGACCCTTGTGAGTTTGGCATTTAGTTATGATTTTAATAATAATACAAATTATAAGGTAAGTTAAGTTACTCTTTTGGTACCAGAAAAAAAAAAATTCATTATGCTCCAAATTATACAGGCCACTTGATAGTGGAAAATTTGTATAATAAAAAGCAAGCTCATCTCTGTTTACCCTGATTACTTAATATAAGACAACCTTAAAATTCCTCTTTTTATTTATATTTTGATCCTAGTTTATGTAGGTACCCAATTTCAACATTTACATCACACAGTACATGAGTAATTTGTCGTATACTCGGATCTGAATCTTGTTTATACATATATGTTTTTTAATGTTCTTGCTATTTCGCACTGAGGTAGGGTGACCTGACAAAGTAAGTTTATTTAGGTTCAGTTACACATAAGTACAGCTATATAAATTAAGGTGATTACAATTATTATACATAGTAACATGTATGTAAATTACCTAGGATAACCCCCAAAAAAAGTCAATACTCAGTGACTTGTTTCCATTGGGGTGCCTGTTAAAATCTTGTTATTTAAAACTTAGCTATAAGATACGGCATATATAAATCATGATTAAAACCTTATAAATTTAAGAAAAACTAAGTTACTCAGCAGTCACTCATTTACTCACTTGCCAACATCACAGTTCAAACGACCCTCCCAACTGCAACATCCACATGCATTCTTAAAAGTGCAGGCACTGTACATCCCACCTCGTGTCATTATGACTTCGTGAGTCACCTCCAGAACTTAGTCCGGCTAACTGTTGCACTAAGTAAAGCATATACACAATATTTGTAATAGGAAAATATCACTGAGGAATTGGATCTGTTGGCTAAGTTTGTTCACCTTGCTGGTTATTCCATTGCTAACGCATTGTAAATACAATGATGGGATTGGGCTTTTGCCCTTAATCTCTTTTGTGCACACATTTTTTGTTTGTCTGCCTACATTTACTTAAGGTTGGAGGGAGGGGGTAAAGGTGGTTTTGAGTGCGAGGGGCATGGACTTTCAGCAAGTGTGCGTGAGTATGTTTGGAGCTAGTGAAGACTAATGGTTTATGATGTGCTGTTGGGAGTGTGAGCAAAGTAACATTTATGAAGGGATTGAGGAAAGCCAGTTAGCCAGATTTGAGCCCTGGAGGCATGAAGTACAATACCTGCTCTCTTAACCCTTTGAGGGTCGACAGGCCCTCTCCGAGACTCGTTCTCAGGGTCTGCCAATTTAAAAAAAAAAATTCTTATGAAAAGATAGAGAATCTTTTCCCGATCATAATGACACCAAAAATATGAAATTTGATGGAAAACTTACGGAATTATGCTCTCGCGAAGTTAGCGGTCTCGGCGATGTTTATGGATCGACAATTTTGCCCACTTTGAGCCCCATTTTCGGCCAGTTCCACTGTACTAGTCAACAAAAAAACAGAAATATTTCACTAGAACTCCTTTTTTTTTCTATTGAATGAGTGCAAGAAACCACCCTTTTGCCAATTTCACACAAATTTCAAAAGATGCCAATTTCCAAATAGGGTCCAGAACAAACATGAAATACATTCCTGGCACTAAAATGACATTTCCTCTGTTCATTAGTCACGTCTCAAGGCCCCTCTTACATTCTTTTGCTTTCCACTTCGAATTTTTATTCTCACAAAAAACAGAAGATTTACTGTTATGCAGACTACTGCATTAGTGTAAAAAATGGTATGAATCATATTGGCGCACTTGCAAAAGAATATTAGACTCACCAGTTGATGTGTATTGGACGCTTGGCATGATTTGTTTACTTTTGAACTTTGGTAAAAATCGAACATTTCTGCTACTTTGAGCTCAATTTCAAGGTACTTTTCATTGTAAAACCAGCCAAAATCATCTCAATTTCTGTGATATGCCTTCCATTCTATAAAATGAGACCAAGAAAACTAGAATACAACAATAAATACCATACGAAAATACAGTGCAAAGTCGCTGTTTTATTCCAAAAAAAACGGTCGTTTTTTTTTTTTCTCATTATGCACTGTGTGCTGCAGGATTTTTTTTATACCGTGCACACTGACCACATAGACCCATTCTTTCATATGGAGGCCTACCAGCTTTCTCCCACTAGATTTGAGGGCGCAAGAATTTAGGCGTACTAGTACGTCAAAAACCCTGGGTCGTAAGCCGTACTAGTACATCCAAAACCCTCAAAGGGTTAAGGAGCGATGTTGATATGTTGCAGTTTTTTAACTGTAGTGTAAGTATGCCTCTGGCAAGACAGTGGTTGCATGAATGATGATGATGAAAGTTTCTTTTTCTTGTCGCCCTGCCTTGGTGGGAAATGGCCGATATGTTAATAAAAAAAATTAAAACTGCATTTAGCTTTGGTTGTGTATTACATTATTTTATGTTTTATGCATTTCGTAATGGTCTGCAGGTGAGCAAGTAGACTGCAAATCAAATAAACTTGCTGGGTAATTATTACAGTATTAAAATATAAAACTTCTGCATTCCAGTTACCATGTCATCTGCCATAATGGCTTCCAATGCAAAACTGGAGACAGCACCTTTCGATCCTCGGTTCCCAAATCAGAATCAGACCAAGTAAGCAAAATTACTGTAAATTGTTCCTTAGACATTCACTAAAGTTTTGTACTTTTAAGTTTAAGATGTTGAGCCTTTACAGTTGTTAGGTAAGGTTTGTCAGAAAATGGGACAGTGTTTCCTAACACTGGTCTTAGTGGTGTGATGACCCACCACAGGAGCTTTTGGTCGTCTGACTGCTAGCTTACCAGTCCACCCCCTTTAAAAATTAATATTACAGTGGAACCTCAAAAATCGAACTGCTCCCAACTCGACCAGTTATGTAAGTGTATTTTTGTAAGTGCTTTTATAAGTGTATTTTTGAGGGTTTGAAATGGACTAATCTAATTTACATTATTCCTGATGGGAATAAATTCATTCGGTAACGGCACTTGGACAGCCTTCTGGACTGAAGAAAGTTCAATATTTGAGGTTCCACTGTATTTCTGGCTTGAGTGTTTTTGCTTCAGTGATTTTCAACAGCAATCTCTCTTGCATTTTTGTTTATACAGTACATTATTTAAATTCCTTTATGATTTCTAAGCATTTTTTACTTATACCACTTTTAATCATTGTTATTATTTTAATGGGAAAGCACTAAACCGATATAGTGGTAATGAGTTGTGATTGAAGTGAAGGTTAGTTTTAGTTCCTTTTGTTTCTGCATTTACTAACATATATATTTGTATTGTTTACCAAAGTAATTTTCCTTGGCAACTTTTGTTGAGTAGTTTTGGGGCTTATCCTCTTCATGGCCCATTCACAGACCAGGCCTCACAAGTTAGAAAGGAAATATTACAGGATTAAGAACTACAAAAAAGCACAGAGGAAAGGAAATGTACATGTACACTGAATGTAAATAGAAGTGTGTAAGATTTACCTGTCATTCTATATGTTCATGTTAAAAAAAAAAAAAATCTAAAAATCCTTCCAGAGTACAAAATATTTAACAGGTCTCTGCTTCACTCTCATATTTGACAAGATGATAGTTCCTTCCAGGATGGTTGATGCTTACTATTACAACCAGGAGTCCCAGAGGCCTGTTATCCTGGGTGTAAAGGGAGCAAAATAAACAGCAGAAAAACTTTTGATTTGTATTATCCTTCACCAATTTAGAACAGAAGTATACACACTATATACACTACACTACACTACAGCCTGGTTGATCAGGCGCTGATCCACCAGGAGGCCTGGTCACAGACCGGGCCGCGGGGGCATTGACCCCCGAAACTCTATCCAGGTAAACTCCAGGTATGTACAACAATAGGTATTAGTGCACTCCAGGGTAAGCAAGGCAGAATAGAAGCCACTAGAGAGCAGACCGTGCTTCAACCAGCTCTAGAATGGGAATGACAAGGGCAAACAGGCGAGTGGTACCCACATCACCTCTGCGATTGCCAAAACCATATTTTCATTGGCTGGAACCTGGGGACTGATTGAATGATGGGGCCCCATCATCAACCCTAGTACCTGGTTCGCTGGTTGGGGGAGGTAGCCTTTCAATGAGGGTGTGTACATGCACCAAATAAAGGTTACATACTCTTTGCATGCCACACTTACCGACCTACATTGGCTACTGTATACGCTTTTGATACCTTAAATTTGGTCATACACACTATAAATAAAAAAGGCACAATCCCCGGGGAAAAGGAAAGAAACCAAAAAAAGGGAAAGGGGAAAAAGGGAAGGAGCAGAGGGGGGGTTCGGTTTTGTTTTTGGAAAACCATTTAAAGAAGGGAAAAAAGGGAAAGGGAGGAAAATAGGAAAAAGCGGAATTGGGTTTGGGGGGCAAAAAAGGGGGTTTTTAGGGGGGGGAAAGTAGGGGAATTTTTAGCAAAAGGCCAGGAGGAGACGGGCCAAAGGGACAGGGGCCCAAGGGGGTGGGCCCCAAAGAACAAATTTGGGGGAAAAAAAAAATTAGGCCAAATCCCCGGGGGAAAAAAAGGAAAAAAAAAGGGAGAAAGGGCCCAAGGGGGGAAAAGGGGAGAGGGGGGGGAAAAAAAAAAGAATGGTTTATTCTAAAAAATTTTTTAAAGTTTGATTTTAAAGGGAAAGGGAAGAAAAAGGGACAAAGATCAGGAAAGTTGTTTGGGAAAAGGAAAATTCCCCAAAAAGCCCGGGAAATGGAAAGTAGGGAAGCAGGGGAAAGGCACAAGGGGTTTGGATGGGGGTTTTTTAAACCCTGAAGAAAAGAGAATTGTTTGGGTGTTCAAAAAAGGGTTGAACGGGGTTTTTGTCGTAAGTTTTTGGGAAAGGGAAAAGGAAGAAAAAGAGAGGGGGAAGGAAAAGAAAAGAAAAAGAAAGGGAAACAAGGGAGGGAAAAAAAAGGAAAAGGAAAAAACGAGACGGGAAGAAGAGCGGGAAAAAAAATTTTAGCAAGGAAGGAAAAAAAAAAGTTGTTTTTCAAAGTTTGGCCTTTTTTTGGGGAAACAGAAAAAGAAATTCCGGGGGGTTTTGGGTTTTTGGGGAGAGGGGTTTTTGTTTAGCACCTTTTAAAGAAGGGCCCAAAAAAATTTTATTTTTTTTGGGAATATTTATACAAGGGGTTGTTTAAAAAATTTTTTGATTTGCAAAATTTACAGAAAAAAAAACCACTTTCTTTGGGGGGAAGCTTTTTGGGCAAAAAATAAAAATTTTTAATGCTTAACGGAATACTTAATACAAGGCTTTTTTATACCCATAGTTTGTTCGAAAATTTTTTGTAAAAAATGTATTTTTAATTTAACAGGGGGGGTATTTGGGGTTTTTTGCCTTTAATTTAAAATTAACAATTTTCGTACTTGTTTTAAAAAGTTACAGTTTTTAATTTTGGGGCCCATTATACAAAATGAGATGGGGGAACCATTTTAGTTTTAAAATTTTTTATATTTTAAAATTTTTTGAGTTGTGGGGGGCAATAATACGTGGCCCCCCGGGAAACTTCAAAAATTAAATCCAATTCCCGGGGAGCTCATTAAATGTTGAAAATATCAAAAAGTCAAATTTAAATTTTTCCCCCATAAAGAAAATCAAATTAATCCATGCAAGACCCCCAAAAAGGGTTTAAAAAAAAAAATTTTTCCCAACATGAAATATTAAGTTTAATGAATAGAATAATTACAATAACAATAACAAAAAGATTAAAAATTGGGTTAAATTGGGTTTACTATAAAAACGTGGGCCGGCTCCGAAACATGCACTCCATTTTCGTCCCTTTGCAATTATCTCCTTCTTTTAAATTAGTCATTGACCTTTTTTCTCGAAGGGGTGGACTAAAAGCTTTTTTGGGGGCCCCATGGTTTTTTTTTTTCCCAAGAAAAAGCACCAAAAAACAGGGGATAATATGGCTGGCTTGAAAAACCCCCTGGCCCACACGGGGCATTTCAGGCCAAAAATTGGACACTCCGTACAAAAATCGCATGAAAATAGGGGTTTTTCCGAATCAAAATGTTGAGGAAAAAATTTTTTGCGTTTTAAAATGAAATCAAATTTGGTCGGATTTATCAATGTGGGGGGTTTTCCCACTGTATAGTTTGGGTGGTTAATTTTGGGGGGATGGTTTTGTAGCAAAAAGGGGTGGGGGGGAAAATTGGAGATGTCATGTTAGAAAATCAAAGTGTGTGTAAATTTTTATGCAAGGAATAAAGATTGAACGAACAGTTGATTATGATAAGAAAGGCAAAATTTTTAAAGGGAATGGAGGAGGGATTTTAAGATATTTAGCAATTCAAGAAATGAGGGAAAAAAAGAGCATCCAGTATGTGTGGGTGTTTTTAAGGACTGGAAAAAGCCAAAGTGATTTTTTTGGAAATATAATTGCTGGGGGTGTTGAACAGGAAAACATAAATTTTTGGATGTAGAAAGTAAAAAAAAAAAAAAAAAAAAAAAAAACTGAAAAACAGTTTTTGGCTTTAGGGGGTTTCTTTTTGAACGTGATTAAAAATTCATTATATATCTGCCTACTTTTTTTTTATTTTAAAATTGGGTTTTTAAAAAAAGGGAAGACTTTAAATTTAAATTGGGATCTATTTTTATTAAAAAATTTAATTTTTTTTTTTTTTAAACAAGCCCGGCCGTCCCCCACCGGGGCGGGGGGTGACCCAAAAAAGGGAAAAAAAAACCCCAAAAAAAAAATATTTTCCATTTTTCATTTTAAAAAACCTTTAACCACACTCCAAATTACCCCTGTTTTTGCAGAGGTGCTCAAAATTTACAAAAGTTTAAAAGCAATCGTAAAAAGTTTCCATTCCCTCAAACTGCCAATTTCCCAAAACCCCTTTTTTTAAAAGTGAAGGCATTTTTACTTCCCATTTCCGGGAAACTCAAGCCCCGACTATAGGGAAAAAAAACCCTTTTTTCCCTGAACCCCTTACTAAATTTTTCCCCTTTACTCACACTCCAACAGATCGTCAGGCCCCAAAGTCCTTTGGGTTCCCCCAATTAACTCCTATCTAACACGCTCACGCACACTTGGGGAAGTCCAAGCCCCTGCCCCCAAAACCCCTTTCCCCCCTCTCCCCAACCCCTTTCGGGAAAAACTTACCCCCCCCTTCCTTCCCCAATATATTTTTTGGGTTTCCTGTATTCTATTTTGATCCTTTTCTCTCTAAATGACCAAACCCCTCAACAACCCCTTTTTCTGCCCTTGACTAATGCTTTTTTTAACCCCACCCCTTTTCCCAAATTTTCCCACACCCCCAAATTTTTTCTGCAAAATATTTACCCACAGATTCCCCTTTGGACAGGAAAATCCCCCCTTCCCTCCAACCGTTCTCCTGTTTTGCATTTACCCCCAAAAGCTTCACTCCTTATAAGGTGTTGGTATACTTTTACTTTCATCCCTTCCCCTTTCTTTGCCTCCATAGATAACTTTTTTGGGATCCCATATATCAAAGCACCTCTCACCTTTTTCCCCCGTCATTTTCTATGTTTAAAACCCCCTTCCTTCAAAAAATCCTTCCGCCGCCCACGTCAACCCCCAAAGTATCTGAAAGCATTTACTTTTTTCCATTTTCCCTCCCCCCCAAAATTTGATACCCAAT